CACCAAGGTTGAGTCCATGGCTTTTTGTGTGCTAAAGTTTGTCCTTCCCTTCCAACAGTCTGGGACCAGAGTCCACACACAGTTCAGGCAATAACAGACTCCCCTCCCACTCTCACACACACACCTCCAGTGGGATGTGGCGTCCCTTTTGGGGAGAGAGGTGATGGGTCCAACGCACCAATAGAAAGACGGATCTGATCGTGACACATGGCACAGAGGTGGTACTCTGGTGGAGGGTAGAGCCTTGTAATCAGACCACTGACAGAGTGGGAGGAGAGAGACTCTGGATTACCACTATGACCCACAGAGATAACCATCATTTCTCATTCCCTTTACTCTGAAAGCTGGCAAACTTGCTACCTACCAATGTCTCTGTGGTAGATCTGCCGTACTCAAAGGGTTGTGGAAGGAAGCAAAACATCAATATCAATCTACACAGAAAATTATAATTTCCTTCAAGCTGGAAGAGTTGAGTTTAACTAAACCCCCAGACTCAGACAGTCTTTAGGAGATTTTTTTTACGTCGATTGTTTTTTTTCTGTAACAGAAACAAAATCCATGAAGAACTGAGATCATGTATCTTCATTTGGCCTCACCTGCTTACATCCCTGAGATTTCATGCCAAACATTTTTTTTTTTGTAGAGATCAAAAGATCTCATTTAAAACTTTTTTTTTATTGTTGCAGTTGTCTTTCTTTGACAGAGTTCCTTTTAAAAATGCCTTATTAACCCCAAAGGGAAAAAAAAAAAATGCTTGCAGCAACTCATACTTTACTACCGGTAATACTAATTCAGCTTCTGTGGACAGGAAGGCTTTTCTGTAGAGGTCTGTCCTGCACCACGTCTAGAGAAGCCTCTGACTGAAGATACTTGCTAAACAATCTGGTGAAGAGGATGCTCACAGCTATCCATAAAGTTCTTCACTTTATGAGGAATTTATCTCCAGAGGTTCTAGAGGAGTTCTTAGAACAGAGACGGCTGTATTTATTAGCTTAAAAACACCTTTTTAAAGCCAATTTATGTATCAGTCAGAGCTAAAAGGTTCCAGATTAACTTACAGAAAAAGTCCCTTTAATAATGTCAGATAAAATGAATGAATAAGCAAAGATGAATCAACCCACATAAAAAGAGATGTACAGAAATCATATAAAGTTTGTATTGATATAGGTTGAAACTGGATGCATCATACATTTAAAAACAGAAACAAGATTGGGCAGTCATTAAAAGTCATTGAAACTTTGAAAATAAAAAAAGATTAGGGTTAGTAACCCTATATCTTTCTGTTCCTGGTTGGATTGGAACCCCGGGTCTTGCTACGGACTCCCGGATCTCAGAACTGTCCTGTTCTGAACTGTTTTCCTGAAATGGATCGGTCTCCTGCCTGCTCACTGGGGCTGCAGCATCGGGGGCCCTCTGGACGTCTCAGCACCGCATCTCTTTGGCAGTGCATTGGTTGATCCTGCCTTTGATTAGAGGATGGACTGAACTGTCCAACCAGTAATGAGCGATGCTCCACCTTTCCTCTACAACTGCTGCAGGTCCTCTGATCCACAGCAGCCCACGTTTTGCTTCTGTTCTGTTTTATTTTGTAATTAAAGGTTTTAAACCTTCCCACTGTCTGTCTCACCTGAATATTGATTCCATCTGTATGGAGGTAGATTTATGTCTTTATAATTCAATTTAAAAAGAAGGTCACTTCAAAAAAATTATGTTCAATTAAAAGAAACGTTTTTAAACAAAGAAAAAAAAAGTATTTGAATGCTAAAATACAGTTTAGACTGGAAAAAAAATACATTTAAATACTGCTTTTCTTTGATTGAAGCCGAGTTTGTTTTTGTTTAAAGCTACTTTTTTATTGAAGTAACATTGTTTGTTGGTTGGACCATATAATAGGTGGGACGTTTGTGTCTTTATCATTCAATCAAAAAAGAAGTTGCTTCGAACAAAAGCAACAAACTTGTGTATTTTTTTTGGGTCTCAAGTATATTTTTGCATTCAAATACTTTTCTTTGATTGAAAACTTTTTTTCATTGAAGTGAGGGTGTTTTCGATTGAAAATATATTTTTCGATTGAAGCAACCTTTTTTAAATTGAATAATAAAGACACAAATCTACCTTCATACATCTGTCCCCGTTTATGACACATGCAATATTGCTGTAAACATGCAGTAAACAGATACTCTTTATTGGTTTTCTAACCTATAGAAATATTCATATAAAAACAAAACAAACTAAAAAAAAAAAGTTGTTTTTATTGATATTATGTCTAAATAAATTTAAAGTTACCTCACTGAGATTATTTCTTCACAAATAGAGCAACATTTAAGCAGGTTTATGTCTCCTCTAAAAGCAAACACTCAAGCAGAGAATGAGGAATTAATGGTTGATCACTGGTAGAAAACTAGTTTATCTTAATGGAGAAGTGTTTCCTTCCAGGGTCCATTTCCTGAGGATTCACCACTTTGGTCTTCATGATCCGATTTCATTTCCACATGAAACCCCTGATCCTTTGAAGAAGTGGGTTTAACAAGACCCTGAACGGTCAGAGCTCTGCTCTTAGACTGCTTCCTGGATGAATCTGCAAAAAAACAAGTTCATTTCAGCAAAGAGATTGATCGAAAAAAAAAATAATACGAAATGATTGCTTAGCTAATGTCTAGCAGTAAATATGCCTCAACAGCATGTAGGGAACAATTCTAGTTTTCAACCATGATTGCAGGACCTGCTGGTGGCCAAACATGTTCAATTTTACGTGTTTAAACTAGATTCATGTTGATGAAACAAATGAGAGAAATTGAAAGAAGTCTATGGTTTTATGGAGGAAAAACCATTATAACCTTTAAAGGCTTGGAAAAGAAAAACTCAGCTTAAACTTTTGAGAAAATTATGATACACAGGAGACACAGACATGTTCAATTAGGAACCGTCAACCTCTAAAGGAGGCTGTCACAATTTGGCTATGGTCAGTTGACCCAAAAGGAGAGGCAGGCAGGCAGAGGTGAATTTATGGTACATTTAATTAAGAGTAACTGAAAAAACTAAGTCCAAACAAACAAGAAACCAGGAATCCAAAATTCAAAACATAAGAAAAAATAAGTAGAAAACAAACCAGAAAACCATGGAGACATCAGGGAATCAAAAACTCAAGGAGGAAGGCTCAGAGAGACGAAGTTGGATGGTGTATGACGAGGACCCAGCAAAGAGGAACTAAAGAGATGAGGTTTTTAAAGGAGACTGAGACAAAGAGAGGGCTAATGAGGAAACTGGGAGCAGGTGTGCACAGAAAAATAAAGGGAAAGAGCTAGGGAAGAAGGAGAACATAAGAGGGCAGCAGAGAGCCACAAAAAGAAACCTGGAAATAACAAAATAATTAAATTACTAGGACTATAAAACATGGAGAAAAGAAAACTAAACACTCAAAAAAAACAAAAAAACATAACAGAACCCAGACTAGGACAGTAACTGGGAAAAAAAACCCAAAGAACACAGCAAAATAAAAATAAAACCACTAACAATAGAAAACAAGGAGTAAAGCAAGACTGAACACTAAAAAGAAAAATATAACAGAACCAAGACTAAGACATTAACTGAGAAAAGAATCAAAGAACTCAATAAACTAAGAATTAACCCACTAAAACTAGAAAACAAGGAGCAAAGCAAAACAAAAAACATAACAGAAACAGAGGCCAAATTAATTTTCTGATCTTTCACCAAAAATTCAGATGATGAAAACCATTACAGCATATTTAGTGAAAAATCCACGGCTTATAACTTCTGTAATCAATCTAGTAGCAAATTAAATATTTTTTGAAAAAGTTTTGGACCAATAGTCAAAAGAAGGGACAGTTTTTACTGGTCATTTTTTCCTGTTCTTCGAAGAACACCTAAATCTTAGGTTTTACATCCAATATTTAGGTGAAATATAGACCTCATGTGAAGCTAAAATACAGAGAAATGTAAAAAATGAAGCGAGGTGACATCAGAAAATTGACTTATACTGTACTTAACACTATAATGCAAAAAAAATCTGAGGAAATAGATGTAGTTATGATTTTAAAAAAAGGATTAGGTCAAACTAAATTAAATTTATATTAAATATTTTTTCAACCTCTATAAATCATAATATTTTGTCCATAGGAAGTAAACGTTTATTGAATTATTGATGGTGATACAAAATGTCAACACAGCCACTGTAGCTTGTATTTTCTCAAAGCTATCAGTAGGGGGCGCCATATACTACAGTTTTCTAACAACATAAGGGTTTTGCAGAACAGTCAAGTTTAGCAAAATTTTAAAACCATTGTTTGACAATAATAACTTCCTTATATTGACTGTCAAATAATAGTGGACACAATAATGTTGGATTTTTACAAAAACTTGAAAACACCAATATCCATTTCTGACTATTTATATACTGAGGGCATGTATGGACCCACAGAGGAGAAATAAATATAATAAACTCTACAGGTAGGAGAAATATTGGCCTGTTTGATGCAAACACAGAGACCTACTGACCACAAAACTGTTGTGTTGTCTCACGTGATAACAACTTCTGCCAAGTTTCCTCAATCCGCTCTCTGTTCACTGTTTGTTTTTTAGAAAGCCAGTGAAACAGAGCAACACTAGCTCACAAATAGTCGCTGTACTGCTCTGGGCTGAAGGATCTGAAATTTGGACAGACTGAAATCAAATGAAAAAATCTAATAAAATAGGGGACAACCTCCCCCTGCCTGTGCATTATGAACTAGTTCCAGTTTATACATATTCTAATGCAATCAGCTTTCCTCAGCCCTAAACATACTTTTTAAAAAGTTTCCTGGTTTTATATTCATCTTTGTTACAACGTTAACCTCAGAGACACCATCCAGATTTGAAAGGTTGAACAAGTCTACATGTTTGAAGGATCTATAGGGACCACATAGACCACACCTGTTACCTACACCTACTATGAGTCACTGTGGGTGGGGTTTGACTTCCACAGACTGGGAGAAGAAAGGGATTTAGCAGGAGGAGAAGCTAAAATCACGGTCTCTGAGGTACTGGGTGTGGTGAGAGTTCACCCTGGAGACAAACAGGAAGAAAAGTGGAGCTTAGAGACAAAAGGAGAGCTTAGAGACGAAGGTAGCGCTGAAAACAACTGAAAGAGGGTGACAGGATAACACCTATCAGACAACAGATATAATCTACGCCCATTCAAACTGTTAGGGGCAGATTAAATAAAAAACACTTACAGACACATTTTTTGATAGTGCAAAGATTTTAAAATCTGCAGCTTTTGTTCTGCAGAAGTTGTGAGACTATCTGCAATAGTAGATGACTCCCTGCTTAGCTCCCAAGAGCTGGAAGATCAAGAACATCCATTATTTACCTTTAAGTTTATGGTGCTGGTGGCTTTTATTCTGCGCATTAAAGGGGTCATAGAGTGCAAACCGAGTTTACATAGTCATAGATGAATAACAATAGTTCTGTGGGTGAAATGGACATAAAGAGAAGTTCAAACACCATTGACACCTCCTTTCTCTGCAAATCTCACTATTTTAAACTTCCACCATAAAGGCAACCCTGAGTTGACGTCAATTCGGGGATTATGCCTTATTTGGTTCTGGCCTGTACTTTTTTCACGCCCTGAAATTGACAAACAGACCAGCCCACTGGCTCGCTGGCCCAATGGAGGGGGGGTATGAAGTGTCCTCTCCTGGGCCGCTGACTGGACCGGACCTCAGTAGAGAACCATGAGCCGCCCGTCCTCAGCCGGAGGAGGGAGACTGGGGGACAGTAACAGACATCCCAAATCTCCTGGAAGTTCAGGGAGTCTCCTTGATATTAATAATTTTTTCACAGATGCCCTTGAGTCGGATAAATATTCCTCGATTTTAGACAATGCAAGGTGTGTTTTTCTGTAATGCGAGTGAGAGCGTGCAGGCAATACAATAATTCGTGCATCATGTGATCAGAACTGCTTTGATTGTGCAGACAACAAGAGAGAGCGGGGTGTGGGGAGGAGGTTGCTTGTGAAACCTGTGCAGCGGATCTGTCCAAAGCGATGCTCTGTTCAACCAACGTTCCAGGCGACTGGTTGTGAGAGTTATCAATTATCAATCGCTGAGTGGATTAGTCAGAGCTACAGTTGCACTGTAGTCGACCAAAATCCCAGACGATTTAGAACATTTTTAAGTAAGAAAAGTGAGACATGTCCGAGAAAAAGAGGACGTCTGGTCACCCTACCATATCAACAATTTGATGTTTCAGTGAGTGAGTGCTTGTTGCTATGATGCGTCTTTGCTCAGCAGCTTCGCTCGTTATAAACCAACCAATCAGCGCACAGCTCATCTAAATATTCATGATCAAACCATAAAAGGAAGAAAACCTGTGGTTTGATTCTAGGGCTTTTAACCAGGCTGCATTAGGGTTCATAGAACAGCAGATATGCCATTTTCAGCCCAACCAATGTTACACACCCTATTCAGAGACCTTAAGGACCAAATACCCTATAGAATCATTCTATGACCCCTTTAAGCCTGGAAGACGTGCAGCAAAGGTCATGAGGTCAGGAGCAGACCCCCACCTGCTGCATCCCGCTACAATGCTAAGCTTATAAAATATTTTCTTAAATTACGAACTGTAGATTTTTGACTAAACAAACTCTCCATTTTCAATTGAGGAGCTCTGTCCAGAAATTGCTCCATTTTTGCTCCATTTTTTTTTCTTTTTTTACATGTCTTGCTGCCACCACATTTAAAGAATTGATATTTCAAATAAAAAAATTGTAACTTTAGAATAATTTTTTTAGCCTAGACATTTAATATGCTAACTATTTTCTATTGTGTCAGTTTATGGGATTTGCAAATTTGCAAATCTTTGCATTATAAACATTCTAGGCTCTTTGGATTTATAGCAATGCATCTTTTTATAGGTATGTCTACAGTTTCATTTTTTAAAATAAAAAACAAGAAAGCTAAGCAATCTTGGAGCAAGGAGGATATAACAATCAGAACATTTTAGCTT